TACACGGGAAGTATTTTCAGAGTTCCCTTACTAATTGCTTTCGATTTCGACAAGGAAATCGTGGGTCACTTTCAATAAAAAAAAATATGCTTAGCATATTTTTTGTCTTTCAAAACTGTTTCCAACTAGTTTCCCCGAGGTTTCCCGGGAATCGGAAAATGAGAATTCTGGCAAATTTCCCAGATAGGAAACACTTGGTGGTGTGATTTCAAGACCAAGGAAGTTGGAATTTCAACAAATGTTTTCAGAAGATTATTTTTAACTCATGAACATTTAAAAATAATCTCACAAAATTGGTTAAAGAGGTATTTCATTTTGCAGCACTACATGCCTGAAATGAGGAAACTCATCATTATTAATAATTATTAATAATTACGGTGCACCAATTTACACGTAAAATTTTATTTACAAGCATTCATAATGGAAGAGGGATATTAATCTAAGAGAATATTTAGCTAAAAAAAAGTCAAAGTTAGGGTCAACTCTCTCCAGAAACGTCCGTTGTTTCCCCTGATACTCCAGCAGAATGATATAAATCCGGAGAACTTTGAGATTTGCGCTTAATTGCTTTTGTAAACAAACACGTCAATCACCGATTGCTCGCGAATAAAGTCTCAATATTGCAAACAAACTATACCAAATGATAGAAGAGTCATCCCTCTACCTGTTTGTGTTGCTAGTTTTCGAGATTGAGCTTTAATTAGCGAGAAATCGGTAATTGACGTGTTTGTTTACAAAATCAATTACGCCCCAATCTCGAAGTTCTCCGAAAATAGACACGAGTTGAAAACAGGGGAACAGGTTGAATTTTCATCGTCTGATGTTGTTGTGATGATCCATATTTAGCCACATCTCATTTTGTCATAATGGGATCGTCCAGAATCCCCCTTTGGATTGACTGAATTAATTGGAATCCCTCCTTGACCGCCATGAATCCACTCAATATTGAATAAAATCCTCCCGGGGATAGTTCACACACTTAGAAATACCTAATTTTACACGTGACGGAATCCATCTTTGACATAAAAGATGAGACGTAAGCAAACATGTCATGTAAAATTAAGCGCTCCTGCAGGAGACTGAAAAGTTTGTTACTCGACGAAAAGTACGTTTGATTGAGCTGAATTTGACATCTATTATGACTCAATTTTATGTTAAAATTGACGCTCGTCAGAGCACCTAAATTTAAATGATTTTTGACGTAGGACTACGTCTGTGATTTCTATATGAGAGCACACTTTGTGAAAACCGAAATTGGAACATGTAACAAAATTACGAAAGATTTTGAACGTTAATAACTCAGCTGCCCCTGGACCAACTTCAATAATTTTATCACCAATCGATCAAAAATATTCCTACGCATCTGTTTAGTTTAAGACTTTATCATTTTTCAAAATGTTACTATTGAAAATTGCACGAATGTGCAATAATTAAAATTATCACCGATTGCCTGCGAAAAGCGATTTCCCTAACACAGATTTCAAAGTTGAATTCCATCCGGTCTCACCAAACGGTGTTCATTCAAACACCGCGTGGTGAGTGGTGGTGTTCTCCAGTACACTAATGTTTGCAGTACTCGAACGTCATCGGCAGCTTACAGTTACTTTCGTACACGTGCAATGTAAAAGTGCAATTACCGTTCCATTACCGAAAGATCTTCCTGGTTAAGGGGATTCCTTGTAGAGTTCACAAATGGCCACAACGTAGTCTATACATGCACCTCCACTTCGAATTTCCAATTACACACATCTCGGAAATGAATGCCCCATTTCACGTGAAATTGCTACTTCATGTATGTTGCAGTACAGCAAACGTGGACTAACAGTTTCATTGTGGTACGTATCGTAGAAGCTGATATTTGTGCACTTAAAGTTTCGAAGTGATTACGAGAATAAGGATCTCACAGTGAAACACCTTAAGCATTCCAAGCGTACCGTTTAAAATGTTGTTGAAATATGTAAATTGTTTTTGCTTGACAGTATCGGTTGCTATGTGTATTTGATGTTCAGCAACGCAAGTTACTCAGAGTTACTCAAAATAAACTCCGATTTCACTCATGATCAAAAGCTGTCTTGCCCCAAGATTACCTCCCAAGTTACAGTGAATCAAACTTCTATTTCCCCCGGAGAAGGGAAAGAGTGAAATCTTATGTGGAACAAAGTGCTGGAACCAAAAACAGACTGAGAGTGAAATGAAAAGGTCGTTTTGAGCTGGAACCCATAAATGAAATCAGATGCTACACTTTGTGTCAGACTAAATAAAAAGGGTGAACTAAAGTGATATTTTAAAACAGACATCGGGAAAATTGAATGCGAAATACAGTAACGACGTATAATTGGAGGATATCAATTGTTAGGAGTCAGTTCGTAGTGCGATAATAATAAGAAGTGTTAATCAAAATAATGTATGTTAGTGAGAACTAAGTGAAAAACACTATTTTTTATGAAGTTCTGAGAGAAGATCTAAGTCTCCTTTCGTGTATGCAGTGCACGTTGATGATGCTGTAGTTGAAGAAACGGTCCTTAAGCCTCAACCTGCACATCCTCGCTTTGATCGGCTGCCAACCAGTAACGCGTTGGCGTATCTTACCCAGCACTACAAAGCCGGTTCCCAGCTCGTTGGTGGTGCCACAATTCTGGTAGAAAGTAGCCGCTGGATGCCCGCTTTTCCATACCTTTTGTCCCGTCCAGCAAAGTTCCTGCAGTGCTACGACTTCGAAGTTGCGTGGTTGAAGTTCGTCATAGATTAACATATGGCATGTTCCATGTTCCGAGTTTCCAATCGTAGTTCTTATTTCGTCACGTAGGTCTGTGCCGATTGTTCCGATTCGTATTTCTTTCTTCGGTATTTGCAACTTTATAAATTCTAACACGGAGAACAAACGCCGTTTTGAGCCGCACTTCCATGGTGAACAGACGCTCAAGTTTAATGAAGCGTTTCCTCTATCATCGTACTTTGGTTACCGCACCAGTGTTCGCGTCGCACTTCTTCACTTTCCTATTGCCGGGCTGGTAACATTAACGACATTAACATTAAAAGCGGCAATGTAAGCTAACAATCTCAAAAGTCATAACTGCAGGGTCGCAACGCTTGGCACAGATAAAGTTCTCAACACAGATTGAGATGTGAAAACTTGAATAGCCCTTGAGCTGGGATTAATAAAATGGGAATTCTGAAAAGAATTTTACGGTAAATTTGGTCGTATAAAAAAATCAAGAAAATTATTAAACCCAGCTTCAGTTTTCACACATATTTATTGCTAAGTCCGGCAAATTAAATATTTTCCATGCATAAGACATATCCGGATTTGAGTAAGGACGAAAGTTCAATTTGCAATATTGGTGAGTTAGTAATTGAATCGTAAAAGAACACAAATATCTGCATTGCGCAGCAAAAGAGCAAGTCATATTTTTGGTAAAGTTTCGCACTGTTTCATTAAATTATTCTGAAAATATGGCCTACAAAGTTGACCGTACATTAAAACTTATTGATTTATTCCAGTTCTCCCGCCAAATTCCATGGGTTTTCCTGGTTTTCCAGGCTTCTTTTCTATCTGTTATTTCCCAGTTTTACCAGTAAGCTGGCCACCCTGTAACTACAGTGTGATTTTGACAGCACCATTCTAAGATCTATGATCTAAACCTACACAACGCTGTCTCATCCAACTAAATGATTCTTATTTTTGTACGCATTTGGAATATTGACGGACAAATTAGCAGAAAGCCAACTTAAAGATGTGCACATAACTACTATATGCACATAACACAAAAATGACAAAACTTCATGTTGCTAAAATCGAGAACTTACTGTGTTAAAAATCGACCAGTCTTTGATTTAAAAGTCTATTAACAAAACTGATTCCATCAATCGTTAGCGACTCATCAACTATTCCTATCAATCGACGTCGCCTTATAGAGCATCAAGCAATTCTTCTTCTTCTTCTTCTTTACTTTATTTAACGTCGCTCTCTGTTCCGCAATCTAGTGCCAATCACCCACGGACATCGATTGCCATCTATTGACGGCAATCGGAATGTCGGATGTCGCACCCATGCAACACACATAGGCCGGGACCAACGGCTTTACTTCCCTTCTGAAGGAAGACGTGACCAGAGATTTTTATGCCTCAGAAAAATTCCACCGACCTCGGCTGGGATTGAGCCCAGACCCATTGGGCTGAGAAAGCAGTCACGCTTACCACTAAACCACCAGCGCCGGCATAGAATATCAAGTAATCGTAGTCAAATCCAAAGCTCCAAAGTAAACAATCCACATTTCCAATAAACAGTGAACCTGACAAGCGAACCACCTTATCTGCGCCAAAACTTCAAATAAACAACATCCAAATCATGCAGCAGGTCGCTTATCAACCATCTGTTACAATCGAGCACGCGTCGCACGAAAAAAAAACCGCATCCCGAACAAAGCAAGCCCTGTTGCTATACAATATTTATGTTGCCGAGGCTGTAAGCTCATAAATCGATGTTCACGCTTTCCCACCTACTGTGCTACGCTGTATCCGAACCGCATGGTATTACTTTTGGAACTTCTGCCGTACCCGACCATAACATTACACATGGAGCCACTTGGTCAATTACTTAATCCCACTTCCTGCCTCTAAGCGGGGTTTAATGAATTTATAACACACCCACCCTAAAGTTGCAGCTTTTGTTGAGCTTCCCTTCATGGCCTCTGTAGTGCAGAAATAGACTCCTATACGATGGTAATAATTTAACGTCACGCTTGCGATATAACTCACTTTATGGATTTTCTTTGGTTCCTCCCGAACCCTCGTTTATGCGAAAAGAAAAAAATAAGTGTCGAATAATTCGGCTCACCACCATCGGGTTACAACTCCACCAACCGTAAAAGTCAACCAATCCGTTATATTATTAAATTTCCATGGGTGCGAAGGTCACGGTGTACCTACTGCTGTGTGTGTGTGTGTGGGTACTAGTGTATAATGTCCATAGAAATGTTAGCCAAAAAAAGGATACTCACTGCCGGTGCTTCCGCTGGGGGTCACCACCGTTGAGTCCGCCATCATATCCACAAGTATAGGAAGCGCACGCTTCCGCTGCTGCTGCTGCTTCTACTATTCTGCGAAGCCCCGAATTACACGCAGACCTTGTCCGCGAATATGTCCCGCACGGTGACAGCAGACGTTATTGTCGCGACGGAAAACCTTCTACGAGGTTGCTGCTGTCGGGTGCAAGTGGAGCATGGCACTTTTTTGTGTGTGCTACCTATGGGGAGCTTCTTCGACGAATGTCAAGTCCCACCGGTGCACCGACGTCAAGGTACCTTGCTTGTTGCTGCCGGCGTTGAAGCTTCTTATGACGGCTCATTGAAGACGACGGCACGGTACCGACACAACTACTGTTCCATGGTGGTTACTCTTTATGTTGGATTTTTTTTATTATGCCAATAGGCACAGACGACAATGTCTCCAAACGCAACTGGCAGTAGGCGTTGTGTGTGGAAGCGGGGTAGGAGCTCGAACTTGTTACTCGTGGCGACGCCCGGCCGCCTGCTGCAACTGGTTGGTGGAGTACATTTCCGTTCTTTTTCCCTCTCCCACTAGGAAAGAACAGCAATCCCTGCAAAGAGAAAATATGACTCGTTATTCACAGCTAAAGAAGCTTGCGTGTTAAAATGTGAAAATGGGTGAACATCAACAGCCAAATGGGTTTGACTTTCATCGGCGGTGGGGTGCACATAATTACAATTTTTCAATCACGAGTTCAAACCGATCAATCAATAGCAATCGATAAGTTGAACAGTCACGCAATGTGAAGTTAAGTATCGGTCACCGCACATCGGAAGGATAAAGGTTGAATCGGAAGGATGTGCCTGGAGTGGAAATCGCCACACAAACAAGTTGAGGTGAAATCTCAGGGGAACAATTTTCGCCGCCGCTGGATTTATAGTGCTTTCTTCACATGTTTCGATCGTAAAGGGGTTGTTATCATAAATCGCTGGAATTGCAACCATGGTAACGGTTTGTCTGGGCAAAGGTCAAGTTGAAAGATAATGGCGTAGCTGTGATACATCTCTTGCGTTTTCAGGAAGGTTCTTCGATTGAAATGAATAATGAATTTGTTGTTAGTTTATTGGTCATTACTTAAAACCGGTAAGGGGCATCATTCTGATATTTTCACCAGTGAAAGATCAGACGTATTGAAGCATGAAAAAATATTAGACAAATGTTCATCACCCTGATCCGTGCGATATTTCTTACCATTATTTCTTTACCATTTCACTACAAGATTTTCGTAGAACATTTCTGATGAGTTAAGGCCCAAACGCAATGTGGGCGGAAGCGGAACGGAAATGGAAAGTTTGACAGTTGTCACAAATGCCTAACCGAGGTCAATTTGATTCTAACTAGTTTTCAATCCGACAAGTAGGCTTACTCAGATCGAGCTTTTCCGCTACCGCTGCCGTTTCGCTTCCGCTGTCATTGCGCTTGGGATTTTATGAATTTTCAATTTATAGGGTGTCCCAGAATGTCTAAGCTCGATTAAAAAAAAAAAAACGATCATGTAACTATGTTTACAGCAAATTCGATTTTTATTTCGATCAATCGTAAGCCAAGGAGGAGATTTTTGATCTCACGCTATGCATTAGCTTCAGCACAGATGCCTTTCCAACAATTTTGGATACTTTTTCCTAGTCTTTCGCAAACTTTGTAACGGAATTCGCTGCCTTTACATGTTTCCACAAATATGCCTTGGTCAGGGCTCAAAAAGTTTCGATTGGCATGGCTTGGGGACAGTTTGGCGGATTCATCTCCTTGGGTAGGAATTGGACCTTGTTGGTTTTATACCAGGTTACCGTGTTCTTGGAGTAATGAACCGACGTCAAATCCGGCCAAAACAGTACTGACATAGATGTGACTCTAAGACTAGAGGGTCCCGAAGAATCGTGCTCAACTTTTTGGCTCAGCTCTGGTACTCTCTTCGGTCCCAAACTAATCGATGCACCCCTCGAAACATAGAAAATCCACGAGCCCCTCATTTTATCTGTCAAACTTTCATAGCGAATCAAAACAACCATAGTGTAGTACTAGAATATCGACTAGAATGATGTAAGTTAATCGATTTGCTTGGGACCAATAGGCTAGTGTAGCATATTATCTTACAACCTTTTCCAATAGCTAAAGTTTAACATGCAACCATCTCAAATTCCATGGAGATCTGTTTTACGCAGACCCTCCAAGTTGAATCCTGATGAATGTGGGCGTCTTAGTGGAATACCTGTATAATGAGAGAGAGAAGGATTAGTATTTTCCATTTAATTCCACTACTTTATTTGCTTATCCTTGACAGATGACGAAATACGCGTATCTGTCAAGGATAAGCAAATAAAGTAGTGGAATTAAATGGAAAATACTAATCCTTCTCTCTCTCTCACCCTCCAAGTTGATAGCTTAGTAAACAGACTTGTAAACCCATAACAATAAATAGCAAGTGCCTTTCGCCCTTGCTGTCCCAGAAAAACTGCCACACTCGAAATTATTATTACCACATGTTTCTTTTCCGGTGGTCTAGAATCCATGTCCCAAACACAGCACGATCGTTGCAATAACATAACCCAGATTTCTGGCATACTTCTTTTGGTAACCTTCGTCGCCAACACATACGGAAACGTACGCGATTGGTCGACTATGTTTTGGAACATCTTTTGCATACTGAGTTAAGCACCTCCCCCTAGAATAAGTTGTGTAGAGTTAAGCTCCATAATAGTCTCCTTAATGAATAAAGATTATTCTATTTCACCACGCGAACCTGTATGGATGCCTCTCCGTAAAAGTTATCACAGCCGAACGTTACACTAGTCAAGTAGTGAGCCAATTTACTAGTTGAAATTCTAGTACTACACAATGTTTGTTTTGATTCGCTATGAAAGTTTGACAGATAAAATGAGGGGTTTGTGGATTTTTCTATGTTTAGAGGGGTGCATCGATTAGCTTGGGACCGAAGAGAGTACCAGAGCTGAGCCAAACAGTTTAGCACGTTTCTTCGGGACCTTCTAGTCTTAGAGTTACCTCTATGGTAGTACTGATCACCAGGAAGAGTTTTGTAAGCAAATTTAACGTCGTCCATAATCACGCACACCGATTTTCCGCTCAGCAATTGGTCGTATAACTTCCGAGCCCTCGGTTTGACGGATGCGGCTTGTTTTTCACTCCGCTTTGGCTTCTTCTGCTTCTTATACGTCTTTAGACCCATTCTTGCCGTGGTCCGCTGGACGTTTCTCTTCGAGAATCCCACTTTTTTAGCCACGTCTCGAACCGAAGCACTTTTCTTGCGAGTGAAAGCTTGCACGATTTTCCGGTCCAGATTTCGGTCAACAGGGTTCGGTTTGCGTCCAGATTTTTGCTTTTCCTGGAAAGTTGCTTCATCACCATACTTCCTATCCGCGTTTCGAATGGCTCCGATGCGTACACCTTCCAATTTCGCTAATTGATTCAGAGAAATGTTGGGGATAGTACACCATTTGTGCACGATCTGTAGGCGCTTTTCCGGAGAAATGCTTTGCATTGTCCCGGAAATGTAAAGAACCGACAATTTCGATACACGAAACTGTTGGTCGAAATGTAAACAATGATTCAGTGTGATAATTAGCTGTTTAAACGTCATCTGAAAAAAAAATCAGGGATGTTCCAAAGTCGTGCTTAGACATTCTGGGACACCCTATATCGAGGTATCACCAGTCTTTCGGCAGCAACAGTTTGGACGTTTTAGATAAAATGTCCAGCATGGATTTATTCTCGGTAGATCGGTAGATACTAACCATTTGGGTTAAACCATAATATGCATCACCGTGATGGAGGATAAGACTGAAAGCCGCAGTCGATACGATCGAGCAGAAGGTATAGTTATGTAAGCTTTGCCGATTAGGAGCGTCTGAGCAGCTTAGGTCATGGTTACATTCGTACTTGACTGGACGAACTCTTCGAGTACGACTAGGATCTTGTGTCTCTTTTACCAGCACCTCTGGAGTACCTCTTGCAAAAGGGCCCGTAACATATGCGTTAATTTGAGTTGCAAAAAGTGTGTTGTAAACAAACAGTTTGGTTGATGTTTCCTCGCATAACCCAAGTAACAATTAAGGTTTTATGAGGGTTCTGTAGTCTATGAATTAGACTTGTAGCATGCTTTAAAACCGTGATAAAACTTGCAATGTTACTTGGGAATAGTGCTGTGAATAACTGACCATCAGCCCGAAAGGAATCTGCCCGATATCGCCGCACGTCTTACCTCCACGGTGGTTGGTGATTGAGAGGGGAGAAAATACAGTGTCCTGGTCGTTGTCCTCACAACGCTTATCATGGCTAACTACGAGTCCCTGCGATCAGAGTTGCGACCCATCACAATCACGATCGCCAAACAGCTGATGGTAGTAACGCTTTGTACATTCCTATCAATGTGCTCGTCGAAGCTCTCTCCATGACCATCAAGTTGACGAAAGAAGTAAAAAGCAACTGGTGAATGTCGTCTTCTGTTGTGATCCATCACTGATCTGGTCATTCCCGACAATCACGACACTCATATGTGCTCGTTTTGAAGCAGTTGCAGCTTTGCTTGCTTATTTGAGTGTGTTGGTGAGAGAGCCCAACAGCTTCCGTTTCATGTTGCCTGCTTTGTTTGTAACTCACACAGTCGCGACTGCCGAGACGAACTTGGAATGCGTAGGCATTGTTTTCATTTTATTCTGTCGTTTCGCTTTTTCTCATGATCGTACTGCAGAAGTCTTCACTGTTTTCGTTGTGCTTTTCATCATCAGCAGCGAGTGTAGCGTTTTGCTTGTGAGCAGCGACCATTACTGGTGATTGTTGTTTGCCATGGCTCTAACTCTCACTGATGCGTGACAAAACGATCTGTCAGCGATAGTCGGTTGGTGCGAAGACGAGTGTCACGTGAGTGTCATGATATTTTGCATCACTGCCTGCGATAGTGCTGAATGTTCAGCACACTGCACTGAGAAGCATTGGGCGTTCTGTGCCCCCATAGTGCCTACACTGATGGTGCATTTGAACGATACCCATGTCTATACTGATCTCCAAAATTCGCTGTTTTCGAACAAAACACAGCGCAAGGCTGCATCCTGACAGAAATAAATAAATTTTGGACAAGCAAATGACTTGTTTTCATCTATTATACAAACTTCAGAAAGCTCCTGCAAATCCAAATCACTTCCAAATTCGGTAAAATTTGGCACAGTTGTTGGAAACTTCCATACAAATCAAGGGGTGGTCACTCTACATACTTATTTTGCGCCAACATTTTTCTCAGTGCTCCTCAGTGTGCCGCAGCTGTACCGGCAGTGCCAAGAAGTCATTAAACTGACTTTTGTTTGCTTGTGAATAATGCCTTGTTTGACAACCCGGTATTCTAACAGCTCTTGTTTTTGTTTTGTATTTCAATGTTTTCAAAAATGACACGAACTCCAGTTGGGACTACACACTGGATGTATCCGTCTCCAAGGATGCCTGCAACGGACTAGCTCCGTTGCTACACGATCCTTCCATTTTTGGCGGAAGGCCGACCCCGCACAACGAACGTCAATTATTAGTCAACCAGCCCTTCTGGGA